GAACGTTTCCCACCCCCAGCGTAACGCTACGTAATCAAAAGCCATTCTAGTTCCATTTAATTGCTTTCCTTCACTTTAAGGCAATTAAAGCTCCGATCTTGATTCGCATAATCCTGGAAGTCTTCTATATGTATACATAGGTTATTGTAACATTATCACATATCACCCAAAAATTGGGGGTTGATGTTCGAGCTAACACGATAAGATAAAGCCTCGCGCAAACCGGTTTTATGCTTATTCGGAGGCTAAACGGACTAAACTACGCCCTCTATGAACCATCCAGGCATTTGTGTAATAATCACAAATAAGTTTACTCAAAGTTCCTCAATGAAATCCATTCCTTTCAAGATTATTGTATATTCTTGAACTTTGTATCTTGTATACCTCCGTCACATATATAATTATACATTTTATTTTAAATATGTGGTTTTTTAGATATGAATTTTGTTGAATATCTCTTAAATAAATGGAAATTTTAAGACTAAATATTGCGTGAATACAAAAATACATTCCTTTTTCCACAGCGACTATCTCTTTAAACTGCTGCTCATTGGCGACTCGGGCGTTGGAAAGTCCTGTCTTCTTTTGCGATTTGCCGATGACACATATACAGAGAGCTATATCAGCACAATCGGAGTGGATTTCGTAAGTTGTCTGAAAAGTTGTGAAACGCCTTAATGTCAGACTTATAAAACCTCTATTTTCCAGAAAATCAGGACCATAGAACTCGACGGAAAGACCATTAAACTGCAAATCGTAAGCATTAAAAAAGGTGGAGGCAATCAAGACCTGGACTGATTTGACTTTTTACAGTGGGATACTGCTGGCCAAGAGCGCTTCCGCACCATCACGTCGTCATATTACAGGGGTGCCCATGGTATCATCGTCGTATACGATTGTACGGACCAGGAGTCATTCAACAATGTAAAGCAGTGGCTGGAGGAGATCGAGCGGTACGCCTGCGAGAATGTCAACAAGTTGCTGGTGGGCAACAAGAGCGACTTGACCACCAAAAAGGTCGTCGATCACACCACAGCTGCGGTGAGTATAGAGCTAGATTGGGATATTCTAACTGTACTGATCTAAACCTTTGTTTTCTACCCTGCAGGAGTACGCCGCCCAGTTAGGCATTCCATTCCTTGAAACTTCGGCCAAGAGTGCCACTAACGTGGAGCAAGCCTTCATGACGATGGCGGCCGAGATCAAGAATCGCGTTGGGCCGCCGTCCAGCGCCACCGACAACGCTAGCAAAGTTAAAATTGATCAAGGACGTCCAGTGGAAAACACCAAATCCGGTTGCTGCTGAATAACTCTGATTGTGAATCATTATTTTATTATACAATTAAACAAAATTTAAATATAATAAATTAAAACGGAAACCACACAATAATAACAAAACAGAAGAGAAAACGATGGCGAACCCCTTAAAATCGTAATAAAAAAACTAATTCTGTAATAACAATAATGATGAGGATTGACGAGTAGTGCGTTTGTATGATCCTAACCGTGATCCAATTCGATACACACTTTAAGCAAATATATATTAGGTATGTAGCCAACCAGATCCAGACTTCAGACATCCCCACACACACAACATGGACATTGATCCCGATACTAACCGTCTTTCTGATTTCAGCAGTTCTGTTCATAAGTAGTGCAAAGCAAGCAAATTCGGTGTAGCAATTAACTTAATAAACTCTAACCTACAGTAAGAATTTACCTATCACAGCAGCGCGAAACGATACCGAAACCAATATGTACTGTTAAACTACACATTAATTGAGCGGAGGCGACGGCAAGAACAATTATACTTGTACTGTGTCAGCTACTACTTACCACTATGTATACATATGTATGTGTTTAAATACAATTTTCTAAACATATTATCTCTAGCGAACGTGCTCGCCACTTGTCTCTGTCATATTGAAATTTTATGTAAATCGAAAGGAACCCAAAACCGAACGAACATTTTTAGAATTAAAATCGAGCGATTGTGTGTTTGTATTTCGTGTGACGCAAGGGATTTGTTTAGGCACATAATTAGTGTAATAATGACGAAATAGCGATGAAGTTTAATAAAAATGATTGCGTGAGCGTATTTAAATTGAAAGGTTTGGGATCAAGGACACAAGTATACACATTAGTTTTGGTTTTCATTGTCGCCGAGTTTGAATCTTAATTTCGCTTAAGTCTAATAAAATCAATCTGTACCGAAGCCTATTAACGATTTGTTTTATTTCTCGATTTTGGACAGAGTTCAAAGGCTAATAAAAGTCGGAACGAGTCCGAACACAGTTTTGGCATACACAGTAAAGTAGGGTGAGTCGATTTCTGCGGAAACCCGATTGGAACCCTAATTACGCTTCTGGTAAAGCTTTTTTAGCTGTATTAAAGATGGGAATACCAAAATTAAGTCACTTCAACTAAAATTGTAGAACTAGTTAAATTAGTAAAAACAATAAAACAAATTTTGGTTGCTTAGTTCACCGTGCAATACCGCAGAAGCCTCGAATATATTCTCCACAACATACCTAGGTATCATAAAAATGTTTTAATTGAATTTCACGCTATGGAGTTTTCTAAACAAATTTAGTATTAGTGTTAGGACCGTCATAAAATGTTTATACATATGTTTAAAAACAATGAAGTTGTTTCGATTTTGAAAACTTGTAGCTTGAAAAATACAAAGAATATCATTTCTTAAGGCGTTAACTACTCGCACTTTCAAAACTCATATACAATTTTGTAACGAGAAATGATTATATTTTTTTGTAAACAAACAACATTTTCTACAATTTTCTCATTCGACCCGATTCATTAACCTTTTTTCGCATCTATATACAAAATCCAAAACTTAGAATATCTGCCAGCGGGTCCAACACTTCACATTTTCATAATTTTCACTTTAGTACTTTAAACTCCATTCCTCCTAAGCCAATTTCAATTTTCATTTCTGCGGTTATATACATATATAAAATCGTAATCGTAAACTAATTCTGTAATAATGAGGAATGACGATGATGAGGAATGACGAATAGAGCGTTTGTATGATGCTAAACGTGATAGGGAACATTTTCTTGTTTGTGTTTTACCAATAAACTATAACCTCTAAAAGTATATAAAAAGATTTGAAAATAATAATAGTAACAGCATTAGGTAGGCCGGCTTTATCTAAATCCGGAAAAATGTCTAAACTTGCGAAGTACCGGGCACCCCGATAGATTTATATTTTTGTATATATGATATTTTTGCAAATCTATCTTCAGCCGGCAAACCTTAAGCTGTAATAAGATCTGTGTTTTTTTAATTGCGAAAAAGCGAATCGATTCAGTAAACGGCTTAACCCCCAAAATAAGGTAAGAGCAATAAAAATAACAAGGTATTTGTGTTCTTAATTTTAAAATTCTATTTTTAAACAAAGTAAATAAACTTTGATTTTAGTATATAGTGAGCAATGCAATTATAAAAAAATTCGTTAAATTTCAAATGGCATCTACAATTGTTTTTCAAAAATCATTTGTAAAAGATTTAAAAAAATTGTCTATTAGTTAAACGGTTAACACTTCGAAACTTAAGAAATTTTCCAAATTTATCTTTCTTCTTTTATTGGAACTGACTTAGACCTTTGGGAAACCAAATTTTTATTATTAAACTGTACACATACAGTGGACAACTTTAAGTATATAGATTTCATTTCTGTCACATTTTATGGGAGATTAATTTCTAATATGCCGAATGGGGTCTTACCAATTTTTGGTTGATACTGCCTTAATCCGTATTTAAATGCCTAATTTAAACATAATATACTAAAACGAAAGGGGATTTGCCTATATATGAATAATTGAAAATTAGTGTGGTTTCAAAAGTCTTACCTTTTTATCAACTTTGATTCTGTACAGGCATGAAGAAAATAATTACTTTCACCTACACTTTTTTTGCATTAATTTCTGACCATTAAAATATGTATACATACAAACGGGATCTATTCATTGGTTTCAAAAACATCTTCTCTAGCTTTTATTGACTTCTTCTGAGGTACTTCAGTCTTTACAACAAAATTTCTTCTAAATCTATGACTATTTGCTGTTGGAATTCAACTAAATACTTGAACGGTTGCTGGCAGTGATGGATTCGGAGGAAAGGTTTCAGATCTTGCTGGCTCGTCGCTCCTGCAGGCAGGCGGTGGTGACAGTGGCGGCCGTCGTCCCGATGATGGCGGCTCCCAGGATGCCCCGCTCGCGGTCGCTCAGCCCGGAAACGGACAAGCTGTTGCTGCGCCACGCGGACGAGGAGGTCGTGCGATCCGTGCCCGAGGAGGTGGATATGGAGTTGATCAGGAAGGTGGCCTCGCGCCGGAGGGTGCGGCGGGGATGACGGGTATTGGCTGATCCCGCCAAAGTGGCTCCCTCTTCCGCATCCTGTTCCCGACGTCTGGAGGTGTTGCGCCCACTTTCGCCCGTCGCCGGATGTTGCCTCTGGTGGTAATGGTGGCGATGATGGCGATGCGGACGTTGGCCCAGACAAGTGAGCAGCAGCCGCCAGAAGCCGCTGCGAAACTTGGACGACATCAGGTTGTACAGGATCGGGTTCATGGCCGAGTTTAGGTAGAGCATAAAGCGCGAGAAGTACAACAGGTTGTAGTAGCCGGCGATGCCCAGGCTCTGCACATCCTCCGCGCTAGCCAATATCACCCACAGGGTGAAGGCTCGAAAGGGCAGCAGACACACAAAGAAGCTGGACACGACGGCCACCAGCATGAAGATCACCTGCTTCCGGTGCTTCCTCATCCCGTTGCTCTGCTGGTGGCTGTTGCCCTTGGAGCTGGGCACCTGGGTGCTAGTGGAGCTAGTGGTCGGCTGTGGTTGCGGGGAGGTGGGCCGATGGAAGGCGTTGTTCGGGCGCAGAAGCTTGTAGGCAATTGCCGCGTACAAGAGGACCAAAATCCCGAAGGGCAGAAAGAAAAACACCGTGATGCTGCCCACAAAGTAGAAGATCGGCCAGAAACCATCGGCGGCAGTCGTGCAAACTGGGGCATCGGTTCCGTCCCCATAGGGCTCCACACTGAAGCTGGATATTGCGATGATGGGACTGCAAGAATCATATTTATCATTAGATTGAATCGAGTGTGTAGCTTTCAGTGGCTGCTGCTGTCTGCAAAGTTTTAACGTACTGCGAGCAGGAAACAAACAAATATTTAAAATCTACTCAACGGCTAACTACTGGAAAAGTTTCGAACCGAGGCACTCAACTTAATCACACTGCGGAAACGGAAACGGCAACGTCTGCTCATACTCATTATACTCGCAGGATGGTGTGGGTTCTATCTACTTTATAACTTTACAAAACGAAAGAAATCTACGTCATGGGGCTACGAAAACAATTTAAAAAGCTACGCGTACGGTACGAATACGTATATTTACAGGGGCGAGCATTTGTCCGATTTCCATAGAATTATATAAATTACACGGCTGCTCGCAAAATGATTAGAGATTCCAGCTGAATAGGGAAATGTTGGAAAAGACGATTCCTTTGACCCGTCACGAGTTGTCATAAAAAATGTATTTATGTACTCACAAACTCTTTGCTTTTCTTGTGTGTGCGTTGTGTGTTGCGTTGTATTTATAAGCAGAGTGTATCGTATATATAAGTATGTTCGTAAATATAAATATAAATATGAATATTTAGCTATGTTTGCGTAGGTGTGTGCATGGTGTATGTACAACTGTGTTTACATGTGAACATTGTGTGCATATTGAGCTAAGCTTTTTATTTGAGCTGCCGCCAAGTAGGCAACAGTTTTTTCGGACATCCGGTGATGGCCGTCCCTGTAATGGCAGCCATTTTGTAGGGCCCGCAACATGGCCGGCTTTCGGAAACTATTTCAATACACCTAAATCATGTTTATCCGCCGCCTTGATGGGGTACCCAATCGCATATTAAGCCATTTCCATGTCCCTCTCCTTCTCGAACGCCCGCCGCTTAATGGCTTACCCCCAATCCATATCACGGCTCCAAACTCTGACCAGTAGTGGTAGTTGTAGTGCTGTTTGGCTGTCGTTGCTGTTATTTATCTTTGGCACATTCATTCGAGTTTAATAGCCCGAAAAATTGATTGTTTTTCGTACGGAAATGTCCAAGGCGGCGGCCCAACTTCGATGCTCGGAGCTGTCAACGGTTGACTGAAATCGATTATGCCTGCCAAAGCGTTCAGGATGCGATTTGTGTTTGCCAGGATCAGCGTCATCGGCACATTCCAGCCAAGTGAAGCGAGTGGGTAAACGGGTTACAGTCGATTTTTCACACCCATCTCTCTTAGGGGGGATTTATTCCTATTCCTGCTATTCTAGGCAGCTTCTCCTGACCCCTTTCCCCTGTCAGGACTCCCCCCTCATTTAGTTCCTTCCCTTCCAATGCCTCTTCATCGAAACTTATTTGCGGCTTGTGGCGTAGTGCTTGCGGGTTCCTCAAAGCCGTAGGTCGGCTATCACTCACTCTCCTGGCCATTCCCTTTCCCAAAGTGGAGTGCTGCAGCATGGCCATGGCCTCCAGATCACTGCCACATGGCATCTGCATCTCAATTTTCAGGCGGGTGCGACTGATATCCTCGCTGCAGCGACGATTGGAACTCCGGGACAGGATACTGGAACTCGTAGCTGCCGTGGCATTCGAAGAGTTCGTATTCGTATTCGTGTTGGTGCCCAAGCCCAGCGACAAGGTGCCACTTCGTCCTCGAGAAGAGTTCACCCGCCTTTCCAGGGTAACCAACTCCAGCAGGAGTCTCCCAGCGTCCTGGCAAAGCCGCGCAAAACCCCTTCGAAACTTCGTTGACATCAGGTTATAAAGAATGGGATTCATGGCTGAATTGAGGTACAACATGATTCTACAGAAGTAGAGCAGGCTATAGTACCGCACCAATCCCAGGTCGTGAAGGGTTTGATCCGTGCTGAGGATGATCCACAGCGTGAGGACACGGAAGGGCAGTAGGCAGACGAAGAAGGACAGCACCACGGCGCCGAGCATCAGGACCACCTGCTTGCGCGCCTTTAGACTAAGTTCCGGCTTCGTGGGTCGGGCCCGCAGCATGGCGGCCCGATTGGAGACCAGGTTCCGGGCGATGATGCCGTACAACACCACCAGGGTCACGAACGGCACCACGAAGAACACGGAGATGGTCATCAGGAAGAAGGCGAGCGTCCAGTCGGTGATGGCCTGCGTGAGGCACACGGCCACCGATGATCCATCAATGTACTCGGCCAGCTTGTACTCGGCCACCCACAGAATGGGGCTGCTCGGAAAAATCGAAGATTAGGGAGAAAAAGCAAACAAGAAACGTAATCAGGTGGCGGGGTCACCGGGGAAGTGGATAATGGATAATGGATTCGGGTGGAATCGGGGAAAAGGCCTAGAGTGGCAGGAAAAAGAGAAGGATGGAAGGCAGGAGGAGTAACAGCAGTGGAAGACGATGAACCAATGACTATGAAGGACCAGTTAAACCAGTCTGGGATGAAGTTCAAGTCTCTAATGAACCGATTTGGCTTGGAACCGATTTTCATAACCTGTTGGCTTTAAGCGGTTTTTATACCCGTTACTCGTAGAGTAAAAGGGTATATTGTATTCGTGCAAAAGTATGTAACAGCTAGAAGGAAGCGTTTCCGACCCTATAAAGTATATATATTCTTGATCAGGGTCACTAGCCGAGTCGATATAGCCATGTCCGTCTGTCCGTCTGTCCGTCCGTATGAACGCTGAGATCTCGGAAACTATAAAAGCTAGAAGATTGGCATTTTGCATGCAGATTCTAGGAGTTCCTACGCAGCGCAAGTTTGTTTCAAAAAGGTGCCACGCCCCCTTTAACGCCCACAATCGCTTATATACGATTTTAAAAATTTAAATATTTCGGAAAAGTAAAAATTCAGTTTTATTGTGTTTATCAATACCTATCGAAATGTAGAAGAAATTTTTCAAATCGGACCATTCGTTAAAAAGTTATGCGTGATCAAAGTTTCTATCTCCATCTCCCTCGCACTCCCTTTACCTGAGTAACGGGTATCTGATAGTCGGGGCACCCGACTATAGCGTTCTCTCTTGTTATTCCTTGGAGTGTCAGCGAGATTATTTAACTCCGTAGTTTTTAAAGTTATAACTGTTAGAAACCAAATAAGTTTGTATTCATATTTAACAACAAGAAGGGATATTCGTGAGCCTTGACTATCGTGTTACTCTGTTTAATTTCGAAATTAATATTTGCTCATGTAATGCGTATACAAATAAATGAGTGAATTTGTATTTACACATTTAAACTGAAAACACTAATAACAAGAAAGGAAAGCTAACTTCGGGCGGAGCCGAAGTTAATATACCCTTGCAGAATACTCTGTAAATTATATTCTCCAAAATTATTTATATGATGCATTCTTAATACTCACAAAAAATCCGAACTTCCTAACTTTAAAAACAACAAAGTTATGGCATTTCCAATCATTCAGTTATATGGCAGCTATAGGATATAGTCGTCCGGTCCGTAAGAAATTTAATTGGCCAAATATAAAACCCATAGAAAATCCCAACTTTCTAACTTTACAAACACCAAAGTTATGGCATTTCCGATCAATCAGTTATATGGCAGCTATAGGATATAGTCGGCCGATCCCGTTCCGACATATATACTGCGTGCAAAGGAAAGAAGGGTGTGTGCAAAGTTTCAATTCGATAGCTTTAAAACTAAGAGACTAGTTTGCGTAGAAACAGACAGACGGACATGGCTATATCAACTCAGGAGGTGATCCTGATCAAGAATATATATACTTTATAGGGTCGGAGATGTCTCCTTCACTGCGTTGCACACTTTTGACCAAAATTATAATACACTCTGCAAGGGTATAAAAAATGCAAGCCAACAATATATAATTCTCAAAAAGCTACTACCAAATTCAATATTATTTAATAATTCTTAAAGCTTCCAATTATTACTTTCGAAAAGTTAGAAATATCAACAAAAAGTATTTTAGGACTTAAATTTGGTTTCCTAGACATACATTTGCCTTTGTCTGGTGTAAATATTTTCACAAAACAAAAAAAAGTTTAAGTGATGGTTGTTTGTTTTGTTGTAAGCCGAAACGCAGATTAAACCGTTCCCCTGCCCAAGTCCTCCCCGGCTAGACCGAAATACATGACAGTCAACAGGCGGTACAGTATTTTTTCTGAAGATGATCCGGGCGGTTTGGACGTGCGTCACCGATTTGCCCCGCCCCCAAGCCATAGCCGCGCCCTTCGGCGTCGGTTTGAATGTGTTTTAAAATGTTTGTCCGCTGCTGTTGGCCTGCGGCGTCTTGTGGAGCGTAATTAATGGGTCTCGGCCTGGAGGCGGGTGTCCTATGGACCTATTCCAGCGGAGACCCCACCACCCGGACCGCCGGGAAGCGTAACAGTCGGACGGAGGGGTCAGTGGCCGGCTCGACAATGTGCTGTTTATTTCATTGTTATGGACGCGGCAAGATTTGCAAAATTAAAAAGGGTCGTCGGTCGTCCTTGGTCGAAGTGTACAATAATAAAGTGTCAATGGAACGAAATCCATGATAGCGGACATCGGTGCTTATTAAAGATGACAGGGCGCTGATAACGGGGAGCTCAAACTCGCACAAAGGCCGTCCGGAACTTGAGGCGAAGGATGTCAATAGGAATGATGATGTGAGGGCAGGAAAAGCAGGAATGGAAATAGAATAGATAGGGACAGAGAGCGGCAACAGTCGCAGTTTAGCATGTAAATGGACACGCCGACGGCACACAAAAGGTCAAACACCAAGACCAGAAATTCCACAATATAATAGAAAATAAACAAAACGGAAAAAATGTGGAAAACCCAAAAACAAAACACAAATCATTAAAATGACGGCGATTGACACTTATAATTAATGAGCAAGGAACTGGATGCTTGACTGGCCAAAATGAATAAATGGAAATAAGCCATAAACTATATATTACCAGGATAATACCGTGTATATAAAGAACTACCAACACCAGAGAGCATGCAATGAAGCAACCGAACTAAGTACGCTTTCGAAATTATACGGTTAATGTCTAATTAAATTTAAGAAACAGTAGGAGCTGGGACAGGGGTTCACTGCACTGTCTCCGGATGGAACCGACCGCTTACCTCGTAAAGAGCGCAGCGATGCCCCAGGCCAAAACGCAGATGAGGATGGCCCGCCCCTTGGTGCAGACGTAGCCGGCCTTTAATGGCTCGCAGATTGCGTAATAGCGCTCGAACGAGATGGCCAAGATGGTCAGCACGCTGGCGTGGGCCACCGTCAGCTCCACGAACGGCACGGCCTTGCCTGGAGAAAGCAGTTAATTAGGCTGGGGAAAATAAACAGACCAGTGGCCACGGCCGAGGCCGTTGGTGGGCGGGAGCCACTCACACATCTCGTGCCCGAGTACCCAGGTCTCCGGACGGGTGTTGACCTCCACGAGAACGGTGGGCGTGCAGACGAGCAGCACCAGCAGGTCGGCAATGCTCAGGTTGGTGAGGAAGATGTTCGTGGAGTTGCGCATATCCTTCGTCTTCACAATTACGATGGGCACCTGCAACGCAGTGGTTTCAAAATGATTTGATAAATTTGACAGCTCTTCAGTCATTTAAGCAAGGCTTATCCGTCCCTCCATCTGGAGATATTCACTACAATTAAACTGCCAGTCGGACCTGAACCCACGTGGTAAGCTATTCTATGTAGAATGTGGAATCATTCAGATTTAAGGTAACATTCCCAAATCGGAAATTTGTTCTTGTGAGTTTCTCAGGGTTCTTTGTATTAGATTCAAAAAACCTAATTGTGTAAAAATTATTTACATTTATTCAATTGAATACAAGCCATAACATTTTTCATAAACCAATTCGTTAGCGTCTTTAATAAAAAATTTAACAACAAATTTAAGTTTACATTTTATGACTCAAACGCTTTAATAATTATTTTTTATAAGCAAAATTAGTTAAAAACGAAACTCGTCTTAATTACGAATTTCCAGCAAGCGATAAAAAGGAATAAGGTATTTATTATTGATTGTATATTTGTTAAACATAAATGTTCAAGAATTTAAGTAGATATTTTGCGTAACAGTTGTTGTCGAGCCCCAAATGCTTTACTTTTAAATTGCATTTTTTGCGACTACCAGACACCCAAAAACGAAAACGTTTGCTGAGAACTCAAGAGCGCAGAAGTAAAGTGAATTCCGGAGCAGGCCTTCTAGCGTCGTAGAAATACATGTGAATTTTAATGCCAATACCGCTATCTTTCTTTTGCCGCATCTGACTAAAACAGGCTCTATTGATTAATAATTTGTATCTTAAGCGGAAGTCCCGGGCTTGCGGTAATTCTGCTCGTATATCTGTTTATATTATTATTCCCGAATCTGAAAATTTCGGATAAAGATTCATGATTTTACACAGAACTCTACACAAAAATACACAGGTCAGACTTTTGCTTTATATTCTACCAAGAATATTTAAGAGTCAAGAGTAAAAACATTTTATTTATGTTAATAGTTTAAGTCCCATAAAAAATATTTTCTTCGCATAAAAAGGGTGAATCACCCTGTGCGCCCTGAAGGCAGTTTCCAAATGAATTAATTTCAATTACAAATGCTTTTGCCTACTTTTTTCAGGGAGGGGGCAAGAGGAGAACTCACCATCACATTTCCTACCACGCCCAGCAGCATAATGACTATGCAGAAGAACATTGCGGTTGTACGGATATACGACGGAATCTGTGGCAGCATCGGCTCAGCATCGGCATCGTCTTTGTATGTTGATGTTGCCGCTGCTGCTGCTGCTGTTGCTGCGCCTTCTGATGTTGCTGTAGCGGCTGATGTTGCTGCGGTGGAGTTGTCCCGGTGGTCAAATCCTGCGGCTGGAATACGATGAGTTGCGTGGTGTGGGCCATCGCCGCCACTAGCAGCGCCACGGGATATCCCAGCCTGCTGCGACGACGGGGTTGCTGTTGCGGTTGTTGTTGCTGCTGCGGGGAGTGCATCTTGAGCCTGGAGGAGGGCCTGAGGCAGGAGCAGAAGCAGGAGCAGGAGCAGAGGCCACAGGCAGATCCCCGGGCCTACGCCAGTGCTGGTCAGCCGTGGAAGCTGCCCAATCCTGGCCACAGCGACGCCGTGGCTGCCCCTCAGCGATGTCGGTGTCCTCGTCGTCCTGCGGTGCTCGGAGTGAGTGTCTCGCAATGGGAATCACAGGGACAACATCGTCGGGTCCCGTAGGATTCGGGGATGGGCTGCTGCCGCCACCGCCCGCTGTTCAATTAAGTGGGTTACGAGGAGCTGTCCAGCCCAAATCCGTTGTAATTGCCCGGCCTGCAAGTTTATGCTCACTCTTAAATACGCGCTAATGAAATTAAGTTGTCCAACGGCCTCTCGGGTACTATCCTATCGCCGGATCCAGCCGCATTAAACAAATCAATCAGTGGGGCTTTGCGGTTGTCGCCCGCGGCCTGAAGTGTCTGAAACGGCAATGGGATTAGCATTTAAGTGTCCTTCCCAGGATCAGGAAATAACCGGCCATTGACCAGGCCGGCTAACTAACGATAATGAATGAAAAGTTCATTAGGCGCTGTCATTTACATAACATTAGAGCATCCGCCCTCAGCCATAAACAAGCTCATCACGCGCCCCCGAGGCTCTTGACCAAAAGGCACTGGACCGAAGCCAACAGGACAGAGGCATGGGTCTTAGTTGCCGGCAGAGTGCATACCAACCTACTGCTCCGCTTAGCTTAGATTAACATATACAAGTTTAAGACAAAACCAATTATTGCCTTAGAATCACTTTTTGCTCCCTCATAAAATATATTTTAATAAGCGTTATCGATCCTGTCATTTTTGTTAGCACTAAGAAGATTTAATATACCTGATTAGATATTTTCTATTTATCTTAACAAAAAGACAAGCTACTAAGCACACGCGTAACTTAAATTTAAACGCTTCAGTTATATAATACAACGTAAACGGTGTTGATTCTACAAGTGTTTGTCACTTTATTGTAGTTCAACTGAGTTTGGGATAATAATAACCATCAGAACTGAACAATTTTTGTAAATGATTATGCTAGCCTCTGTGTTTTTATCTGCTGCTGCAGAGCCAATAATTATGATACATTAGGATTTTGTAAGCATAATTACCACTACACTTATGGTCTATATTCCATGGTCTATATTCCATAAGTGTAGTGTCAATTATGCTTACGAAATTCTAAAGAGATTAAGATTAAACAAGAAAGGAAAGCTAACTTCGGGCGGAGCCGAAGTTGATATACCCCTGCAGAATATTCTGTAAATTGCAATATTGGTTGGCCAAAAATAAAACCAATAAAAAATAGCAACTTCCTAACTTTAAAACACCAAAGTTATGGCATTTCCAATCGTTCAGTTATATGGCAGCTATAGGATATAGTTCGGTAGGTCGAATTGATTGGCCAAAAATAAAACCCATAGAAAATCCTAACTTCCTAACACCAAAGCTATGGCATTTCTGATTAATCAGTTATATGGCGGCTATAGGATATAGTAGGCCGATCCTTATGAAATTTGATAGAAATAGAAAATACCAACCAAAGTTATGGCATTTCCGATCAATCAATTATATGGCAGCTATATGCTATAGTCGGCCGATCCCTTTGAAATTTAATAAACCCATAGAAAATTCCAACTTCCTAACTTTACAAACACCAAAGTTATGGCATTTCCGATCAATCAGTTATATGGCAGCTATAGGATATAGTCGGCCGATCCCGGCCTTCTGACTTATATACTGCGTGCAAAGGAAAGAAGGGTGTGGGCAAAGTTTCAATACGAAATCTTTAAAACTGAGAGACTAGTGCGCGTAGAAACAGACAGACGGACATGCTTATATCAACTCAGGAGGCGATCTTGATCAAGAATATATATACTTTATAGCGTCGGAGATGTCTCCTTCACTGCGTTGCACACTTTTGACCAAAATTATAATACCCTCTACAAGGGTATAAAAAGATTAATAACATTTGTTGTTGAGATATAGTTAAGCAATCGAATTAAAAAGTGATAATACCAGATTTTGTGAGCATAATTGCTTTTACACTTATTGTAACTACACTAAGTATGCTTACAAAATCTGGAATTTAATACTAAAGAATATAAGTTTCTAAAGCAAATTTCATTAATCTTTTGTCTTGTTTTCTAAAGTTATGTAGAAGAAAAAATATGATTATTTTAATTTTGAAAATGTTATAACCACGGTTTTAAATAGGTGATATTTGGTTCTGAGCACCTTACATTTATTAAATTAAACTATTGTTTAATAGTTTTATCCCCAGACGCCGCTACTGACTTGGATGCTTACTTCATATATCGAAAGGTTAAAAAAAGTTAATTAACCATTCTTAAACATTAATTAAATCAGAATCAACAAAATAAAATAGTGATCTTAAATTTGCAAATACGCGAATAACAGAGCTGATTGAGCAAAACGATAATGTCAAATTCCTAATTCGCTATGTTCAATTAGACCTGCAGAAAAAGTCTGCAATAATATTTGATTCTGAGTCCCTCACTTTGATCGCATCAAATTATTTCTTAACCGCTTTATCCCCAGTCGCCGCTCCTGACTTGGATGTTTGCTCCCCATCTCGGGTGACAGTGCCGCCTGGCAGACGGCGATTATCGCCGAGAGCCACCGCCGATGGCGTCTGCTGCTCAGCTTCATCCTCATCAGCCGAATGGCTGTTGTCAGCCAAATGGCTTTATTAAATCCCCATCTTTGCGGCGCGCAACTCGCTTAATTATATTATGCTCGTACGGAGCCTCGCACACACATCCAAGGATGAGGCCATGGACATGGACACTCGGACGAGTAAACACAAGCTTCCGGTGTTTGTTTGCGATTGGTGGGAGGGGGATGGGGTGAAGGGGCCCCTGTGCAGCGCCATTTTGATTAATTTGATAAATTCATTATGCGCACACCATATTGGCCAGATCCTGGGGCTTGTTCCTGTCCGGATGCTTTTGACTACGGGTCTGGATGCTGTCCTTTTCCCTGTGCCAAGCTGTGCACTGTGTTTGTTGTGGCCCAGGATTCGGAGTGGGTTGTGGGTTCAACGGCCCCGGATGACATAACAAGGCAGTTTGTGTCACATTTGGTTTAAAAATGCGACTTTAACGATGCTAAGTGGGGGATTGTCCGAGGAGTCAAGGGCTGGGCCCTGCTCTCTATTGGCCATTTTGCTGGCCGTAATTGTTTCGAAAGTTTCGAGTTGGTCATGTAGAAAGACAAATGAATCGTTCCAAACTTTTGGCTGAGAGCTGTGGCCACGGCCATCAATATGGCCCACTCGGCTGGCCAAGAGGTCAACACCAGAAGCCACATATTTATATAGGAATATAAGAACGAACAACTGCCGCCACAAACATGCGAGGCCTGCATGCAAATCTGAAATCGGTTTATGGTTTTTGCCCGAAATCCCAACTGCTCGAGTGCTGAGCGGCAATTTGATGGATAACTTGTGGCCTGGCTGTGTGGGCGTTTGCATTAATATATAAGTTGCGAACTGACACAGAACAAAATACAAGATATTTTAGAAGTTATATGATCAGGGGTGCCTAAGAGGATCCTTAAAGCAGGCAATTCAAATTTTATACTTAGGGCTCCGTATAGTTTTGGTATACCCAATTTTTACCCATTTATTAATTAAAGGTTTCTTGAGGTTCCCAGTACATGATATCTTCTAAATAAATTAAACTGATTTAAAGGATAACTTTAGAAATAGCTAGGTCTTAAAAGAAAAAGTTTCTTAAGAAAATTATACATCTATCGACCTCGCTTAGTTTAAAACAAGAGAGAACGCTATAGTCGGGTGCCCCGACTATCAGATACCCGTTACTCAGGTAAAGGGAGTGCGAGGGAGATGGAGATAGAAACTTTGATCACGCATAACTTTTTAACGAATGGACCGATTTGAAAAATTTCTTCTACATTTCGATAGGTATTGATAAACACAATAAAACTGCATTTTTACTTTTCCGAAATATTTAAATTTTTAAAATCGTATATAAGCGATTGTGGGCGTTAAAGGGGGCGTGGCACCATTTTGAAACAAACTTGCGCTGCGTAGGAACTTCTAAAATCTACATGCAAAATGCCAATCTTCTAGCTTTTATAGTTTCCGAGATCTCAGCGTTCATACGGACAGACAGACAGACAGACAGACAGACGGACAGACAGACGGACAGACGGACAGACGGACATGGCTAGATCGACTCGGCTAGTGATCCTGATCAAGAATATATATACTTTATAGGGTCGGAAACGCTTCCTTCTAGCTGTTACATACTTTTGCACGAATATAATACACCCTTTTACTCTACGAGTAACGGGTATAAATAGCTGGAAATACGGTTTTGAACCACAGTATTTCTGTTTTTGGGGAATAAGTTTTATAAAAAGCAACTTTTTGAAAAGTTGAATGGAACTCGATTTCACCCCCGCACAAAAAGAGGATATTTATTAGAAGTTGTTTCTTTTCGTGTACAACATTTTCGTATAATTTTTTGGCTGAGATTCGAATAAGGTTCGGGCGACTGGCAATGATGGAAGTTGAGCCACTGGCCTGCATCCTGGATGTGGGAGTCTAAGCGGGGGGCCAAGTGGATTTGCGTGTACGAGGACTCGCATCGCATGTGTGAATGTGGCAGTGAGGCGCTTTTTATGGTATTTAAGATTGAACGGAATTTATTGCTGACACCCTAATAAAATTAACATTGAAATGGCAATTTGAGGCGGCAATAAGAATCAGCAGCAGAAGTAGCTCCCGCATGAGTATCGAAATCGGCAGCGGGGGAGTCGGAGAAAGTTGTCACACCCCCGCACACACGCATATCTAATCAATTTATCGTTCAATAATAGTCAAGCCAGTGGATATATGGGATGGTTATGGGGGATGTGCCTTAGCAGCCACTTTGACAAATCGCTAAGCGTGAAAAAGCGAACGAGTGGGTGGCGAAAAAGTTAAAGCCCAGCCGCCGGAGTGATTTCGAACTCTGTGGCACAGTATCAGCGCTTTTAACCGCTAAAATATCCCGAGGAAAGCGGTCTAAAACACATTTACTTCCCCCAAAGCAACCGCATCCCGTGGACGTGGCTCTTTTTCGCCGAGGGTGTCGCACGCTAAATAAATTGAAATGACT